TGCTGCTGATGATGATACTCATGATGCTGCTGCTGATGATGATGCTGCTGATGATGCTGCTGCTGCTGCTGCAGATGATGATGATGATGATGATGATGATGATGATGATGATGATGATGATGATGATGATGATGATGATGATGATGATGATGGCGACGCTTGTTGTGGTGATGAGCGTGACGATGATGCTGCTGATGATGGTGCTGATGGTGAGGATATTGAGCAGTGGAGGTGATGGGGATATCGGGCCAACCGTATGATGCTGCACCATGCAGATCTGGCTTGGCAGCACGAGGCCAAGCCTGACGTATTCACGTTGGTGCCACACTATTTGTGCGCCTTTCAATTCCCGCTTCGCTAGCTCTCGCCAGGGCCAAGGCTTAGTGGGTTGGTCTCGGCGCTACACGCACAGCTGCCACGCTGGAAGCGGTGGTGGTGGTGGTGGTGGAGGGGGGCAGTTCAAGACATAGAAGGGTTACGCACATGATCAGAGTGTTGTGGGGGCCAAACATGTTGGGCCCCAGCGTAAGATGTGCTGGCACCTGCACGGTACACACTGCGGATTGCTGCCATACCCCTTGGATCCGACGTCGCGAGAAGTCGCAACATTGTGAGACATTAGCGTTTGCGCGCTCGACCCTTATGTTCCCGCGGAGTGACTCGAGCCGGATCGATCCGTCAGGGCCCCGCGGTCCGAATCAGGGCGAAAGCGCCCAGTGCGAGAGGGATTACGACGCTGGGATCTCCGGGACAGTCGCAGTTCTGCTTGACTTGAGGCGCCCGTGCCGGTCCCTTAGTGGGCCTTGGAAACGACAGGGCCGTTTTTTTACCGGTTCCGTTTTGCCGTTTTTTTTTCCGGTTCCGACGCCGTCTTTTTACTGGTTCCGTCGCCGGTTTTCGACCGGTTCCGGCTCCGGTTCCAATCCTGGAGCCGTTTTTTTGCCGTTTCCGGTCGCCGTTTTTTTGCCGTTTCCATGTTCAAGGGAATTTTTTTTTGGAAACGGTGAAAAAACGGCCCTGCCGTTTCCAGGGCCCACAAAGGCCGGTCCCCAGGAGCGCTGCAGGCACGGTGCGTCACATTTGTCTTACATTATAGGCGATCCGAGCACTGGCAATCGTATCCACGACGTCCAAGTCTTTCGCCGGCTCGAGCAGCGTCGGGGATATTCTAGACGCTTCGCGTAACCCCACCTGCCTTCCTGGTCAGTTCTCCTCTTACGTCGGCGTCCGTGTTCGGGAGTGCGCGTAGCTTCAGGAGCGAGTGTGCGACTTCGGTGGCGCCACTCGTGCTGGCTCCTGGCCAGTGACGTCTTCCTGGCCAACGGTGGCAGCATTACCTCCTGGTATGTACTGCAAGCGAGCTGCCCCCTTCAGGGGCTGGGTGCATGAGGATTCGTGTGGTTTATCCTGCGCCTGTCCTTGCCCTCTGCGGCCACTTGTCAGCGTTGTGTGCGACTTTGGTAGCGCCACTTCCATGCCCAGGTTCCTGGTCAGTGAGTTACCCCGGCCTTGCCGGTTGCTGCGATCCTTCGTGGTGGCGCTCCTGGCTTCATCCTGGTTTCGTTCCCGCGCCATTTTGGCTGCGCCCCGGTTTTCGGTTGGCTAATTGCATGTGCGCGCTCCTGGACCTAGCTCCTGGCAGCTGCAGCCCGCACCCCCTTTCGCTTCTGGTCTTCTGAGTTGCCGCCTAGGCCTCTGTTTGCTGGCGCGTTAGGCAATTAGGTTCGCGCGCGGCCCGCCCGTTCCGTTACTCGCCGCCTGCGCTTTCGCTTGCGGTTGCGACAAAAAAGTAGCCCCACTTGCCCATCCTGAAACGATGCCCAGGCGAGTTGCCCTGATCAGGCATGTGGGGGAGCACGCAGTGGAATAAAGGCTGGGAAGCCGTCGTATTCCGAGAGGTTGATGATAGAGGAGGAACCAGAGGAGGAGGAGGGGGGGGAGGAGGGATGAGAGAGGCGGGAGGAGGGAGGAGGAGAAAGAGAGAGAGGATTTGGCGAATTAGGACGAGGAGGAGGAGAAAGAGGAGGACGAGAAGGAGGAGGAGGAGGAGGAGGATGAGGAGGAGGAGGGGAGCGGACAGGAAGGCCATAGGTCTCTTGGATGCCCCTCGGGGTCTCTTCGGATGTCTCGAGAGCTTCTTGGAAGTCGTCTTGGGGCGTCTTGGGGGACTCTTGGCGGCCCCGGGGGCATCTTTGTGCGTCTTGGGTGCCTCGGGGGCGGCCTCCTGGGGCCTCTCGGTAGTTTCTTGGGGGCCTCTTGGGGACCTCTTGGGGCATCTTGGGGCCTCCTGGGCGCCTTTTGGGGCCCTCTTGTGGCACTCTTGGGAGCTTTGGGGGACATCTTGGGGCCATCTTGGAGGAGCTCGATCCGAGAAGGGGGGCTCCTCAATTAGCACCCCCTTCCCCCCAGGAGGCCAGATTGTGGCCACAACCTTGGTAACATCAGCGATTTTGGCCCTCTCGCCGAGGCCAGAAAAGATCCCCTGACACCTCGCGAAACGCCTCGTCCAGGTCCAGGGGTAGGGGGTAGGGGGAGGAGGAAACCCTTCCCCGAAGGAGAAGAAGGAGGGTTAGAAGGGGCAACCCGCTAAGCCACTCACGGCCCAAAAGGCTGGTGGAATGCCGACGGACGTCTGCGCAGCTTGGAACCCTTGCATTGTGCAGTCGTCGCACCTGGCGCTTGATAAGGCCCCTTCTTGAAGCGCCGCTCGCGCGAGCAGACAGCGCCGGCGCTAGCCAAGGGGCCCACAGCGTCCTCCACGTGCCTCCGCTTGGCGCGCGGCACGTGCCTAGCGCTCGCCGTGCTGCGAGATGCGGGCGTGCCGACAAGGTGTGGATGTGCCTCTCTAGAACGGCAGAGCGGCCTCTTCTTGAAGCGCCGCCCGCGCGAGCAGTCAGCGGCGCTAGCCAAGGGGCTCTTCCTCTCCCTGCCCCTCCTCCTCCTCCTCCTCCTCCTCCTCCTCCTCCTCCTCCTCCTTCTCCTCCGCTCAACCCAACAAGGGCCCCTTCTTGAAGCGCCGCTCGCGCGAGCAGACAGCGCCGGCGCTAGCCAAGGGGCCCACAGCGTCCTCCACGTGCCTCCGCTTGGCGCGCGGCACGTGCCTAGCGCTCGCCGTGCTGCGAGATGCGGGCGTGCCGACAAGGTGTGGATGTGCCTCTCTAGAACGGCAGAGCGGCCTCTTCTTGAAGCGCCGCCCGCGCGAGCAGTCAGCCGCGCTAGCCAATGGGCTCTTCCTCTCCCTGCCCCTCCTCCTCCTCCTCCTCCTCCTCCTCCTCCTCCTCCTCCGCTCAACCCAACAAGGGCCCCTTCTTGAAGCGCCGCTCGCGCGAGCAGACAGCGCTGGCGCTAGCCAAGGGGCCCACAGCGTCCTCCACGTGCCTCCGCTTGGCGCGCGGCACGTGCCTAGCGCTCGCCGTGCTGCGAGATGCGGGCGTGCCGACAAGGTGTGGATGTGCCTCTCTAGAACGGCAGAGCGGCCTCTTCTTGAAGCGCCGCCCGCGCGAGCAGTCAGCGGCGCTAGCCAATGGGCTCTTCCTCTCCCTGCCTCCTCCTCCTCCTCCTCCTCCTCCTCCTCCTCCTCCTCCTCCGCTCAACCCAACAAGGGCCCCTTCTTGAAGCGCCGCTCGCGCGAGCAGACAGCGCCGGCGCTAGCCAAGGGGCCCACAGCGTCCTCCACGTGCCTCCGCTTGGCGCGCGGCACGTGCCCAGCGCTCGCCGTGCTGCGAGATGCGGACGGGCCGACAGGGTGTGGATGTGCCTCTCGACCAGACAGGGCCTCTTCTTGAAGCGGCGCCCGCGCGAGCAGTCAGCGGCGCTAGCCAAGGGGCTCTTCCTTCGTTCGGCCCTCCTCCTCCTCCGCCTCCTCCTGCTCATCGTCCTCCTCATCCACCTTATCCGACAAGGACCTTGTCCCATTCCTCCGCTCAAGCCAACAAGGGTTCTTAGTGGAGCGCCGCCCCGTTGTCGTCGTCCTTGTCGTCGTCGTCGTCGTCGTCGTCGTCGTCGTCGTCGTCTTCGCCGTCGTCGTCGCCGCCGCTGCCGCCGCCGCCGTCGCCGTCGCCGTCGCTGTCGCCGTCGCCGTCGCCGTCGCCGTCGTCTCCTTTCCAGCACTGGTGCCGACGGTGGTTCCGTCAGGTCGATGGACTGTCCCTGTTGCCTTCTCTCTGTTGGATCCGTTTGTCTTCTCTCTGTTTGTGCCAGGGGGTGGATCGTACAAATTGCCCCTCCTCGTTATCCTCCTCCCCCTCCTCCCCCTCCTCGTGCTCCTCCCCCTCGTCCTCCTCCTCCTCCTCCACCTCCTCCTCCCCCTCCTCCCCCTCCTCCTCCTCCTTCTCCTCTTCCTCGCCCTCTCTCTCCTCCCTCCCCTGTCCCCGTCCTGTCTCCGTCCTCCGTCGGCGTCCCCCGCCCCGTCCCGCGTGCCCGTCCGCGTCCCCCTCCCTCGTTCGCCCGCCAGGGCTCCCTGCCTGCTCCGGGCCCGCGCACGCCTCCTCGCGAGAAACGGCGCGCTCCGGGCGTGCTCCGCCGCCTGCCGGCCTCCTCCTCCCCGCGCCCGCTGCCTTCCCCGCCCTGTGGTGCCCCAGGGCGGCCCCTCGGTGTCCCTCGGCTGCCCTCGACCGCGGCGCGGATCCGCGCCGCTGCGACCCCGGAGTCGTCCGAGTCCGCCTCCGCCTGCGGCACGGCAGCGCGAGCGGCTGGCCGAGGCCGCGCCTCTTCGTGGCGCCGCCCAGCGCCACCGAGTCGCTGGCGCCAGAGCCGGGCGCGGTGATCCGATTCTGATCCGACTCGCTGGCGATCCGATCCGCTTTCGGTCCGATCCGCTCCTCGCGGTTCGATCCAGCTCGTGGCTGTCCGCGGCGGCAAGCGTGCAGTCGGGCACGTTTCTCTTACGGGAGGAATATCCAGAGAATAGCCAGAAAATTCCAAGGGGGCGATTTTTCGGGCCTTTTTCCACTATGTCGGCGTATTGTTGACTCCCCCCCCCCCTCTTCCACATGGCGGAGGACGTGCCCGACCAAGGGCCAGCGGCAGCGACAGCGGCGGCGCGCGGCGGCGGCGGAGCCACGACGGGGCGGTCCAGGCCAGACCTGTTCGGCGCGCCGCCGGGCGCCACGGCGAGCGGCGGCGGCCTGGACGTCTCCGCGCCGGCGCACAGGCAGCCGAGCGGTGGTGGGGACGTGCTCCAGGCGCGCCCCCGCCGCTCGTCGTCGTCGTCGTCGTCGTCGTCGTCGTCGTCGTCGTCGTCGTCGTCGTCGTGGTCGTCGCCGTCGCCGCCGCCGCCGCCGCCGCCGTCGCCGTCGTCGTCGTCGCCGTCGTCGTCGCTTCGTCAAGGTCGCCGCCGCCGCCGCCGGCGTTGCCCCCGCCGCCGGAAGCGCCCTCTTCAAAGACCAGCAACCGTGGGCCTGCCATGCAGGCGAGGGCCTCGTCTGGAACAAGAAGCCGCCCTGCATCCTTCTAGCGCGTACTCCAGATTTCGTAATAAAAGGGAGGGGGTTTGGACCTTCCAAGACAAGCCATTTCAGACCCCCCCTCGTGGGAGAACCCTCCAAAACATCGTCCCCAGACCCCCCCAGGCCCTCCAAGATAGCCTGGAGGAGACCCCCCCCCGAAATGAGACCCCCCTCCCTTTATTACGAAATCTGGAGTAATCAAGAATGCGAGAACATTTCATCACTCGGATCAAAAGGGCCACCCTCCCTTTCGTGTGGCTCTCGCGCAAGCTGATATGGTCAGCCATGAAACTCGAGAACATCTTCAGCAAGAGAGCCCCATTCTGAAATGGAACCGCTTCTCACCCGTGAAGCTGACACATATGTTGAAGCTTCTAGGACGACTCAAGCAAACGCCACATTTTGAGAATGACCCCCCTCCAAACTTTCAAGACGAATCGCGTGGCGCTTATGCGAGAGCCTCATTTGGAAAAACACCTCGCTCCCATCTTTGAAACTGTTGCAGAATGTTGATACGGATTTTCGCGGCGACTCGGCGAGAGCTCCAGTTCGAACACGACCCGCCCTCCATCCTTGAAGCTGTCGCAAACCTCAAGCTTCAGGGTTGTCAAGCTGCATGCGGCAAGTCCCGCCACCGTGCTAGCCCAGCATTCTGGGTGTCCGGCTGTTCGAGGGGACACGGGAGGTCGTCAAGTGTGACACCTCGTGTCTCCAGGCTTGGGAGAGCCGTGATGAGGATGTTGAGGGTTATGAGGATGAGGGGGATGATGCTGCTGCTACTGCTGCAGCTGCTGCTGCTGCTGATGATGATGATCATGGTGACGATTAGAGGATGTGTAGGAGCAGGAGGAGGAAAAGGAAGACTGTCACATGTGACACCTGTCGACTTCATTGTTTCAGAAGCTCTCATGGGACTTGATTGGACTGGGCTGTCTTGGCCTCCTGCGAGGCAGTCTCTTGGGGTTCCCTTTGGGGCCCTCTTGGGCCGTCTTGGGGCTCCCTTGGGCAGTCTTTCGGCCCTCTTGGCCATATGGTGGGGTGTCTGGGGGCCGTTGTGGGGCCGTCTTGGCGCCGTCTTAGACAGTCGAAGGGTCCGCCAAGACCGTCTTGGGTTCAAGGGGGGCTCTCTTGGGGCCGTCTTGGGGCCGTCTTGGATGCCTCTTGGGCCCTTGTGGGTGCCTCTTGGGCCGTCATGGGGCCATCTTGGAGTCTTCTTGTTGGGCCGTCTTGAGCTGACGGAAACCCGAAAAGGTGAGAATGCGAGCACCTTTCAACAAACACATGGCATTCAATGATTTTTGCTTCTTCGCGCCCCGTTGGAGGTCCTCTTGTGGCTCTGCTGGGCGCTTTTTGGGGCATCTTGGGCCGTATTGAGGCAATATTGTGCCACCTTGGGGCTATCTTGGCCCGTCTTCGTGGCATCTTGGGCAATCTTTGTTGCCTTGATTGCCTGCCTGGGCCGTGAATCGTGTTTCCCAGGGATCGTGGCCTCGGGAGCGCGGAGTTGTAGTTTTCTTCGAGGGATCGTTGCCTTGGGTGGGAGGGGGATGCACGCGGCACTCCGTGGGCAGAGGGGGTCCCTCATTAGAATGCAGAAACCTTACAGGGCAGTATCTGACATTCGCAGGCACGCTCGTTGGCGGATACTCTGTGAGGAACTATCAGGCAAAACGCCCGGCCCGCCTTCCCGACACGTCTGGGGGGGGGGGGGGGGCAGGGAGGATTTAGTCTGTCAGTTTGTTTGTCTGTTGGTTGGTTAGCTGGTTTGTTGGTTTGTATTGCTTGCTACTGATATCATTTGTCTCAGAGCAGGGGCGGACGAGGAGGAGGAGGAGGAGGAGGAGGAGGAGGAGGAGGAGGATGCGAGGTTAGAGGATTGAGATCATCGCCGCCCTCCCCTCGTCCTGCTCCTCCCCGCGCGGGGCGACGGCAGCGACGGCGGCGGTGGCGCCCCGCCCGAGGGGCTCATGCGGCAGCAGCAGGAGATGTTCCGGCAGCAGCAGGCCGCGCTCGGCAGGCTGCAGGAGGAGACGGAGCAGCTGCGGAGGAAGCGCCCAATTTTTGATGCTGCTGCTGCTGATGCTGATGCTGCTGCTGCTGAGGCTGACGACCACGATGACGATGACGATGACGCTGACGCTGACGCTGACGATGATGATGATGACGATGACGCTGACGATGACGATGATGATGATGATGATGATGATGATGATGATGATGATGATGATGATGATGATGATGATGATGATGATGATGATGATGATGATGCTGATGATGATGATGATGATGGTGGTCATGACGATGATGCTAATTCTGACGATGATAATGGTGGTGATGATGATCATTCTGATGATGTCGATGCTGATGCTGATGCTGATGCTGATGCTGATGCTTATGCTGATAATGATGCTGATGCTGATGCTGATGCTGCTGCTGCTGCTGATGATGATGATGATGCTGATGCTGCTGCTGCTGCTGCTGCTGCTGATGATGATGATGATGATGATGATGATGACGTCGATGCTGCTGCTGGTGATGATGATGCTGATGATGATGCTGTTGATGCTGTTGATGGTGGTGGTGGTTGTGTTTGTGGTTGTGGTGGTGGTGGTGGTGTGGTGATAATGGTGAGGATGATGATGCTGATGGGCAGGAGGAGGAGGATCAGGAGCAGGATGAGGATGAGGAGGGGAGGGAGGAGTGGAAAGGAGGAGGGGCTCGGATGGCCCCAAGCCCCGAGGGCGTCGTCGTCGTCGTCGTCGTCGTCGTCGTCGTCGTCGTCTTTCTCATTCTTCCATTCCTGCTCCGTCTCCTCCTTCTCGCGCTCTCCCGCACGCGGCCATCTCCCCCCCAGCGCGCGCTGCAACGCGCGCGGGGATGGCGACTCGACTTGCGCTTGCCACAGGCGTGGCCTGGAGCTCTTCGGTGACTGCTGCCATGCTCTGCAGCACGAGGCGCGCACCTCTGCTCAAAGGGGCGAGCAACTCGCACACGGGAAAGTTCAGGCCCTTTCTGCGCGGAGGCTGACACGAAGCGCACCTCGATAGGAATCGGGTCCTACAGGCTCCCAATCTTGGGTGTCAACACGTCCATCAGGTTGACCGTGGTTTTCGGTGATATCGGCGTTCTTCTTCGGCCCTTCGCTGGGCGTTGATGTCCACAAGGGCCATGCGGGTCAAACCATCCTTTGCGTGCGCTGGAACTGAACGACGGTGGGGCTAGAGCGCACGCACGGGTATCGCCTCTGCCAGCCTCCTCCCGATCCCCTCGCCCGTCTCCCTCCCTCTCAACCTCTCCGCCTCCCTTTCTCCCCATCCCTCTCCTGCCCTCCTCCTCTTCTCCTGCTCCCCCCTCCGCTTTTGCTGCACCTGTGGTGCCCAGCGCTGGCAGTGCGCCAGTCTGTGATGGAATTGAAAAAGGCGGCCCAGGGAGAAGGAAGAGGCACGACTGAACCTCCTTGACCTGAAGACGAGGCAGCTCGAGGAGAAGGACCCGCCGCGTGCCTCCTCTTCCTCATATTCCCGCCTCTGCCTGCTCCCATTCCCGCCCTCCTCCTCCCCCAATTCCCCCCCCCCTCCGCTCCCCTGCCTCCTCCTCCCCCTCCCCCTCCTCCTCCTCCTCTTCTTCCTCCTCCTCTATAATTACTCAATATGAATACTACTCTCCCTCTTCCCCTGATGACGGTTTGAAAGTATTAGCCCCCCCCCGCGTACTGTTTTTTTACACACAGGATTCCCCGGAGTTGGGTTTTCGCTTGCATTTTTTTTCAAAATGCTGCTCTCGCTGAGGCGCCGGCCTCATTTTCGGGCCCCGCTCGTTCCGAATCGTGCTCCCGCTGCAGCGCTGGCCTCATTTCCGTGCTTCCGCTCGTTCCGAATCGTGCTCCCGCTGCAGCGCTGGCCTCATTTCCGCGCTTCCGCTCGTTCCGACTCGTGCTCCCGCCGCAGCGCTGGCGTCATTTCCCGTGCCATGCCACGGCATGCAATGCAATGCTAGGTTGATGCTACGCTTTGCGGTGCTCTTCTACGCCATGCCATGCCGTGCTCTACAATGCATCGCGTACCCTTTCGGGATCATTGCCCTGCTCGACATCCGACTGTGCGAGTGGAGAGGGGATCTGCGCCATGGTAAGGGATGGGAGGGAGGGGTAGGATGTCAGATATGACGCGGGCGCGTTTAGCTTGTCCCCCTCCCCCTCCCCCTCCCCCTCCTCATCCCCCTCCCCTTCACAATTATTCAATATGAAAATACTCTCCCTCTTCCCCTGATGGCGTCCGGGTGATGGCCGCGCACCCTCCGCGTACTGTTTTTTTACACAGGATTCCCGGGAAATCCCGGGAAACGACTCTCGCTGAGGCGCCGGCGTCATTTTTTCCCAAAATGCTGCTCTCGTTGAGGCGCCGGCCTCATTTCTGCTCCCGAATCGTTCCGAATCGTGCTCCCGCTGCAGCGTGGGCCTCATTTTCGGATCGGTGTTTGGCCTCCGTCGTTCAGGATGGCGTTCTCGCCCCAGCGCGGGCCTTTTTCTCGCGCGCCCATCCGCCCGCCACCACCGCGCCGCACCGCCACCACCACCACCACCACCACCACCACCACCACCACCACCACCACCACCACCACCAGCACCGCACCGCACCAGCACCACCACCCACCACCACCACCACCACAACCACCACCACCACCAACCACCACCACCACCACCACCCACCACCACCACACCACCACAACCACCACCACCACCACCAGCCACCACCACCACCACCACCACCACCACCACCACCACCACCACCACCACCACCACCACCACCACGACAACCACGCACACACGCACGCACGCACGCACGTGCACCACCACCCACTACGCACGCGCGCGCGGAGCCACAGGTCCGCTACGACACGCGTCCGCGGATAGAGAAAATCAGCGCCATGGTAAGGGATGGGAGGGAGGGGTAGGACGTCAGATATGACGCGAGCGCACCTAGCTTGCCCCTCTCCCCCTCCCCCTCTCTTCCTCGATCCCTCCCTCTCCCCCTCCCCCTCTCTCCCTCGATCCCTCCCTCCCCCCCCCCTCAGCCCTTCCCCCCCCATCTCGCACCGCGCCGCGGCCTTCCCACGGCCGCGCCGCGCCGCGCCGCGCCTCCCGCTCGCGCGCGGCGCGCGCGCGGCGAGGGGCGCGGGGGCCCTCTTCGGACCACCGGGGGGCTCGTCTTCCGTTTCGCCAGGCATCGCTCGGACGTGTGCACTTTTCCTTCGGCGAGGACCATCGGTGAGCATCCTTCATCATCTGGCGAAAAAACCACGCACGAAGCCGCAAAAAGCACGGGGAATGGACGTCCGAGCGATGGCCAGTTCGACGGGGGGGGGGGGGCAGGGGAAACAGCGGGGGTGGCAGTTGACGCCATCATGGGAGATTGTAGAGGTGTGGAGGTACGTTGGGCCCTCCTCCAGGGAGGTCTTCGTGGGCCGAGGGTGCCTAGAGGAGTCCTCGGCCAACGAGGAGGAGGCCGCTTGTCACCACCCACCAGGCCAACCCAACCCAGCCCGAAGGCCTCAATTTGCCCTCCATTTCCAGTGTGTGTGTGTGTGTGTGTGTGTGTGTGGAGGGTCGGGGATCATCGACAAAACACACATGGAGCCCATAACCCCCCCCAACCCGAAATTCGGGTCTTCGGGTTGGGTTGGGGTGGCCTGGTGGGTAGTCAGCTTGTCCACCGGACTCACCTGTCGTAAAGAGGTCGGGGCTGGCGGTGCGATGAGCGGCCGCGCCACTCGAATGCTCGTGCTGCTGATCACGGCATTGCATGCAGTCTGGAACGGTGTACTCGAGCTACGTGTCTTTGGTTGCTGAGGTCAGAGTGCGGAGGTATCGGCGTAGCAGTTGCACCGTAGGAGTCGCACAATAAACATACGACGTAGTCGCAGTATGCGTAGTTAGGTACTCGACATGAAACTCGTGTGCTGGAGTACCGTAGTTTGCGGCCTCCGATGACTGGTCTCACAGCATCTATTGTGCCATCCGGTTGTAAGCTACATCGAAGAAGCTCTCGCCCTGGACCGCATCGAGGACTCGGTTGGCAACCCCTGGCTGGCCTGCAGAGGCTGCGCGGTCGTTTGAGCGCTTGGGCACACAGGCCTCAGGTCGTGGCATTGCTAGGCTCGAGCCGTCTCTTGGCACACTTTGGCGGGTCGCTCCTTGGTGTACTTGCCGATGGGGTCGACGCTGGTACTTTTGGCGCTGATAGCTACCGGTCCCGATCGGAATTCCAAGCGCTCCGAGGCTGTATTCCACGCGCCCAAGGTCCCCTCGATGCCATCCGGTCCTTTCGGGCCTTTGAGCTCGAGAATTCGGGCTGCCACCCCCTGTCGTGGCCCCTGCGTGTTCAAGTGCTCCAGCTCGTCCTCGTGGCTCGGCTCATTCTGCTGGTGGCTCTCGTGGCTCGTGTGGTTGCCCTCGTCGCTCCGCCTGTGGTCCTCGTAGCTCTGCCGGTGGCTCGCGTGGCTCAGATCGGGGCCCTCGTAGCGCTGCTCGCGGCCCTCCAATGGCTCAGCTGGTTGCCCTCGTAGCCCAGCAGGCAGCCCTCGCGGCTCTGCCGGTGGCTCTCGGAGTTCTGCTCGTGGCCTTGGCAGTTCGGTTCGTCACCGTGGCAGCCCCGCAGGAGGCCCTCGTAGCTCTACGAGTGCCCGCGTGGCTCCGCTTCTTGCCCGCGAGGCTCGGCTGGTGGCCCTCGTGGCTCGGCTGGTAGGCAGTCCTCGCAGCCCTGCTTGTGACCCTCGCAGGTCAGCGCGTGGTCCTGGCAGCCCAGTCGCTGGCCCTCGTAACTGGTGGCTCTCCTTGCTCAGCAGGTGGCATTCGCAGTTCAGCTGGCGGCCCCCGCAGCGCTGCCGGAGGCTCTGGGCGCTTGGGAGGCGGCCCTGGCTGTTCTCTGCTGGTGGCTCCAGGAGCTCTGCCTGCAGTCCTCGTAGCTCAGCTCGTGGCCCTCGTGGCTCGTCTGGCTGCTCCCGAGGCCCTGCCCGTGGCCCTCGAAGCTCCGCCGGCAGCCCTCGTGGCTCGGCCGGCGGCCCTCGAAGGCTCTGCTCGCGGCCCTCGCGGCTCAACTCGCTGCCCTCGCAGCTGCAGCTCAGCAGGTGGCCCTCGAAGGCTCGGCTGGTGCCTCGCAGCTCTGCCTCGTGCCGTCGAAGCTCTGCCGGTGGGCCTCGGAGTTCAGCTGGTGGGCCTCGAGGCTCTGCCTCTTCCCGTCGAAGCTCTGCCGGCAGTCCTCGGGGCTCAGCTGGTGGTTCTCGACGCGCTGCTTTTTGCCGCCGAAGCTCTGCTGGTGGCCCTCGAGGCTCGGGCAGTGGCTCGTGAGGCTCTGCTTCTTGCCGCTGAAGCTCTGCTGTTGGCCCCCGTGGCTCAGCTGGTGGCTCTCGAAACTCTCCTGGTGGGCCTGGTTGCTCTACAAGTGGACCTCGAAGCCGAGCTTCTTTTGTCGTCGAAGCTCTGCTGGTGGCCCTCGGTAGCTCTCGAAAAGTCGGCATGGTGGGCGGTAGGGTGAGGAAGCCGTGCGCGGCGTAGTCGTCGTAGCCGTTGTATTCGTTGTAGCCTTTGTAGGCCTCGTACTCGTCATCGTCGTAGGCGGCGTAGCCGTGGTCCACCCGCATTTCCACGACGATGTATTTGCTAACCCCCTTGGGTTGCTCGGCCTTGTGGTACCAGGTGTCGTAATTACTTTGTGTTGTCGTAGTTGGTGTCGTGGTTGGTGTCGTACTTGCTGTCGTACTTGGTGTCGTACTTGCTTTCGTGCTTGACGTTTGTCATGGCGGGGAACACGGTGGACATGTCGGTCCATCTGGGGTTCGGGCCAAGCCGCATCTTGTAACCAGCTCTGCGTGCCGCAGCTCGCAGCGGCCTAGGCCCCGCAAGGCTCGTGGACGTCGATTCATGGAGGGGAAGCATGCTGCCAAATAACTTCCAGATGTCTAGAGCATGTGTTCAGACTTGTTTTAAACACGTAGAACACATGTTTTCAACATTACCAGGACATCTTGCGACACCTGAAACGCACTTTTTCATTCGATGATCGGACTGTCAGTCACCACCCACCAAACCACCCCAACCCAATCCGAAGGCTTAGATTTACCCTCGATTTCCAGTGGGGGGGGTCGGGAAACATCGAAAAAACACATGTGGAACCCTTAACCCCCCCAACCCGAAATTCGGGTCTTCGGGTTGGGTTGGGGTGGTCTGGTAGGTAGTCAGTCAGAGTGTCCACTGTCATGGCATCCACAACGCGAGGCCCGCGCCATTCGTGTCGTCGCCAGCTCTCCTCGTGCTCTTCTCTTGGCTGCCGTCGCCCGCCGTGCCGCCGTCGCGCGGCGGTGGCCCGCGGGCCGAGGCCGGACATCGCGGCCCTGGGGCCCCGAGTGCGGGGGGGGGGGGGGGTCCCGCAGGAGGCCTTCTTCTTCTTCTTCGTGCTCTCCCCCCTCCTTTTTCTTCTCCTCCTCCTCCTCCT